CTCTTTTTTCTAGGTATAGCACAGGAGTTCAAGCCATGAGTCAACATGCCAGAAGCCCTTCAAGCAGAGTAAAACAGCCTCTTTTCCTAAAATCTCTAGTGAAGGAACCATCTAAAAATAAGTAACTAAATACAAGAGGAAAGGACAAGTACTAGATTCCTCTGCCTCAACTTCAGCAAGATTAGAATGAAACTGCCGATATATTTGATCTCTAAAACATGTTGAAACAGCTTACGTATTAGGGGTTTACAGATTATGCCAGACAACAGTTTGCTGGTATGTATAGCCTAACTACTCAGCTCAGAATTTACTGAAGACCAAAAACTACATAGTGTGCTCAGAAGACGAGGCAAATCACAGGATTCTAAGGAGCCAGTAACTTTTACCACAAGATCACGAGTCCAAATCCAATCCACTGTGGTGAAGGCTGCCATCCTCACCATCTGACAATTGCTCAGTTATCCATGTGCTGTCAACCAAGAGCCAAAACTGGCTCTACGAAATGACCTATTAATATCCTTTTCTGAATAATCTGTACATTCTATTTGTCAAACAAGAAAACCACCAGCCAAAATAATCTTAACTTGTCCAAATAAAATCATGCTGAATTAAAAATATAGTCTTTCTGATCCTTCTCTCAATCAACAAAACCTCCTCTGTCTGGTGACACAAACATGTTACAAGGCTAGATAAATTACAAACTGCCTATCTTCCAGTAAATAAAATAGCAAGGTTGTGGTACAAGATGAGGTAATTCAGAGAAGTAGGGTAAACTACCCCACACTTATCACAGATCATACACAAAAGGCTGTTACCATCTTGCAGCTGACAACTCAAGTCCACCCTGATGCCTACCCTTGTAACTTCTTACCTAGTCTGTACCTTCAGAATCAGGAGGGAATGGACTAGAAATTTTCATCTGTACAAAGGTTTCTACCAAGAATGCTGTGTACTTCAATGTGTCAGTTCAGGAAACTGACTCAAGAACCTTAACTAATCTCAATTGTCAACACAAACTTTGTAGAAGAGAAATGGAATACTTTACAAACCCACTAACCAATCTGAACAGTAACAAAGGAGAACCTGATCTATGACTTGAACCACAGATACAAGACCTCCCTCAAAGTCTTAGAGAACAGAAAAATTTTGCACTAACAAAACACCTCATCAAGTTGTAAAATAGAGAAACGTGCAATTTAAATCAAGACACTAAATGGCCAGACATCCAATTTAGGGAGACTTTCTTTACTGGAACAGGAATGGGTTTGGAATCACCTTGAAGGACTCGTTGACTCTGACTTTCCCTACATACACACTTCTTTCTACATCGACCCCTCAAACCACCTCAGCTCTTCTCCTCTTGCCCTTCATCTGTTCTGCCCACTGCTTCAGAAGTATCCATTTTTCATCTTATCTTCCTCTTCCATGTCTGCAGTGTCACTCAAAATGAAGCAGCCAACTATTTTGGTTGAACCAACCAGCATTTAAGAAATTATTAGAAATAATTGTATACCTCGGTTTTATACTTTCCTCTTCTCCTCATATAAAGGGTATACAGCAGAAAGCAGGCAAAACAGACAACAAACAAGTTCCATCTGAAGACATACTCTTCCAAGGACACAATTTACAGGTAAACACAGGATAGCTCATGCTTGTCTATTACTGAGAAAGGTTGTGTCAGCCCTGAAGACTGTGTCCAGCATCTGGAATGAACCCAAATATAATCTGCCTATTGCCACTTTATTCCTCTTCTGGTCTTCTTATTGAAACTTCCATGCTAGATTTCTACACCTGGCTAACATATTTGTCTGAGAGAACTGCCAGCCTACAAAGTTGTTGGGTTTTTTTCTGGGATTTTTTTTTTTTTTTTTTTTTTTGGATGCATAATTCTGGAACGGAGCAAGACAAAAGGAAGTTTGAACTTCACAGAAATGATGCCTTCCAGCTTTAGTCTGCTTCCTAATAAACAAAGGGGGAAAAAAAATAAAAAAAGGAACAGAAAAAAACAAAATCCCAGACCTTCAAAGACACAGAAAGCCTTTTAAAGACAACTAGATGTACTTGCACCAGAACTTTTAATAAGCCTGGATTAATAAGCTTTAAAAAGCAAAATCCATGACTAAAAAAAAAATCTTTAAATTACTTCATGCACTGAAAAACTTCTGTGCAGCCTGTATCTAGTAGAGTTTACATAATTTATTGAATGTCATCTCTTACTTCATTAAGTAAGATGACAATGAGAGGACATAATTTTATACTAGACAACATACCCCAAAGGTAGATGTAATTCATATAAAATAAAGTTGTAAGTCATACTTTCTCTGCGTAGCAAGACTGGAGAGGCTAGAGCGTCACAGCATGAGCTTTTGTTTTAGCCATTTGTACATAATCTGACTGGCATATTATATTGTTTGATGCACAGGATCTTTGAGAACTAAGACTCATTACATTCTTCACAACAAACTAATTTTGGTGTCATGAGGCAAATAAAATCACACGTATATTGGCACCGGTTCCATCATTATAGATTATTCAATAACACTAATAGTTAAAAGTGTAACAATCAAATATATATACAGAATGCTTCCAAATGCACCCAGTTTCTCTTGTTTATGATGACATTTTATCCAGAAGCCACAGAGAGACTAAAAGAAAAAACAGACCGAAAAAAATCACAGAAACTGGCTAACATGAGAGGTTTTTGGCTTGCCTCTTTTTAAAATTGATTACACTGCAATTTGACAGTCATTTTAGAAACACCTTAAAAAAATACTTATTTAAATGATCACTCCTACACTTGTATTGTAACATTAACAAATACTGTACTTATGTTAATGCATGCCTATTTGGAAGCAAAGAAGCTAAAGCTATTAACAGCTTCTTATACTAACTCACCAAGACTTAATACAATTATGTTGAATCACTGCAGAGGAAACAGGTACCTTACCACAGGGCTCAGCAAACAACTATACCTTCTCTCAACTTTGAACTACGACACATCAAGCATAAAACATCTATAAAACATCACCAGTAGGTGAAAGAGGATGCACTGAATTCACAAAGATGTGGCATGCAACTTATAATGGCATGAGGTTGGAACTGCTGAAACAACACTTACACTTTTCTTTTTTGTTTAAGCATTCTGACATACAGGTAGAATGCAGTTTGTATAGGAAACAAACCCAACGATTTTAGCACAGGAGAAACATCTCTATTGTACTCCTCTCCTCAAGCTTCAAACTCCATCAGTCAGGCAAAATAACATAGTTATCGCCTTCTGAAAAACTAATTTAGAGAGCCTGAAGCTCTCTAAAGTTATTGTGATCCAGTGCATTTCATTACTATTCCCTCCTCTCCAGTATCTCACAAACATTGCCCAAATAAATAACAGTAAATATGTCAACTGCACCTTCTTCAAAAACTGTTTCACAGAAGACATCCTTGTATCACCACTGTTACCCTTATGCAGGAAATGAAGTGGGTAATTGGAAAGAAGAAAGCAACTCTAGTAACTAGAAACAGTTACTAAGACACTGTTTGAATGACTGTGCAGAGCATATAGCAGACTGTTTCTGAAAAAGTGACATGGAAACTGGCTTTAATTTATTGCTAACTCTAAGCCAAACAATAAGTAGATCTGGGTTGCATGCAACATAAAACCTGTTTACATAATGCAACCATTTATGTCAAACTTCCTTTGCAACAGAATGACTCCTGTACACACGACAAATGGGATATTCAAAAAGAACCCATAGGCTCAGCACCAAACAATTCTTCCAGGGGTTCTGGTAAGAAAACATCTACAGTGAAAACATTTCTTTACATACTTACGAATTCAAACAAAAAAAACATTCATCAAGATCCTCACTCGTCACTAAAATAGTTCTAACAGTATATTTTGCTCCTTTAAGGCAAATTCCTCAAGTATACTCAAAATTGAACAATCTTTACATACTTAAAAAATAAAAAGTCCTTAGATGTTAAGCAAGCTTCAGACATCCTATCAAGCACAGGAGACTACCCCAGTACACCAAATAGCTATAATCATTGCTGAAGACACAGAAGGAATCCAGGTACAATCAAATGTAACAGCAGTGACATTTCCAACAATGTAGACATTTCACTGCTTCTACCAACAATTTTACCAGCTGTAAAACTATACTGCAACGCTGCCTCTGAGCTCAGGTGCAGACAGAATGGCAGGGATTCAATCCTCCATTCACTTCCTCTCTGCCTCCCATTATCTCCTTTAAAAATGGGAGACTCTGAAAACAGCATTGTATCTTTTATTTGAGTAGATCTAAAGATACATCACATATGGCAGAGTCTAATTGCCACAACACTGCTGTTGTTTCTTCCCAAAACAAAACTGCATATTTTTGCACAGAAGTTCCTGAAATATTTTTAAAATATTAGCTAATCAAATCAAATATTAAAAACCTCTTCACTCACACAAAGTGAACATTAATCCCTGTTATTAAAACTGAACCGCTACAAATCAGGAATCCATTAGGCTTCTGAAAAGGCTTCTCAGCACTAAACTAATGTTATCATCACCTTATGCTAACATGACACAGTATCTCAAAAAAGTGAATATTATTTTGCTCCATTTCATCACTCGTGAAAGCTCTAAGTCAATATCCATCATGGCTCCCACAGTTTGAAGAACCGAGGTTCGGAGGTCAAGCTCCATCCAAGCAACAGTCTCTCTCTGCCAGAGGAAAAACTACATAACGTAAGGCCCTGTGAATAAGCAATTACAACAAAATGAACATTTTATGACAGAAATACACTTGGTTTTAAAGGTCACAGAGTGACAGACCAGAGCGCACAGTGGAACAAATCCAGCAAATTACTGACTGACCTGCAGGGTCAATGGATCCGAACAATAAATATTTCTGCTCTTTAAATAATTAAAAACGTCAAGATACAATGGCTGCAGACAAACAGCATTAAGAATGCAGACAGGCCAGACAACCGTATTAAAACAGTACACTTACCTGTCCTGTGACTGCTCCTCATACATTCTTTCTTTTCCTTCTTTGAAGAGCCTTATAGCCCGCTTAGATTTTTTCATGAGACTGTCAATGTAGATTTTAAAATATTCGTTCTCACTGAGTTGTGCAAGTTTCTGGTTGTCATCGTACTTGCTGAGTATAAGTCGCAAATGTTGGTAAGTGTCAGGTAAAATGTCAAGTATATAAGGTGGGCTGTTTTTGAGTTGAAGCTTTGGGTTTTGGCACAATCTGACCTACAAGCAAAACAAGAGAATGTAAAAGACAAATATGTTTGGGCAAAAACTGATCTGAACATCTTAGTATTAGAAGGTGTAAGCATACTTCTCTAACCTCCAGGCACAAAGAATTAAACCCTACTTCACTTATATTCCGTGAAATCCCAACACAGTCTCTAACGTCAAAGGACGTAAAATTTCACTTAATCCTGTCACATTTATAAAAAGCAAACAAGCTCACTTACATGGTTTGGGATTTTGCATTTAAAGAACGTCTTTTCCTGTCTACTGAATGCAAAGGCATATATTATCAAAACACAGCATGCAACTAATGCCAAGAGCAGCTTCGTAGAGATTTGTTTGCTGTAGGTGAACTTCCCTATGGATGCTTAAACATCTACAAAGGCATTATAAATTACCTTGTCATCTGTTGACCCTCTCTTTTCTCTATCCAACAATATAACCACCTAGAACCTATGGAAATTCAAAGTTCAAGAGGTCTACACATATGAAAATGGTCTGAACAGTGGTTCAAACAGCTATCAGCTACTAAAGACAGAAATTAAGTCAGTCACAAACAGGTGCTGTAAACCAGGAAACAACACATTCTAAATATAATGTTTTCCAGTTCATGGCTGTAATAGAAGAAAATTTCTTAATGGACTTGGAATCATGTTCCTAAATGGCACAAAAATTAACTGAAAAGTACATACTTTAAAGAATAAGCTTCAGATGAATTCAACACTATTTGAATCTAGTCTCCACTGGCAATACTTCTGAAAGAAGATTCTGTGTTTGTTTCCTGACCATACACAAGCTTAGGGTAATTACCTTCTGCCTACCTACCTTCTCTAATAGTTTGGTCTGTAAGGTTCTGCTCTACAAAGTGAAAGAGAACGAAACTAACCCGCAGTTTTTGACAGCTATTGCACTGAGCCAACCACGCTCAGCTAGAACACTGCAGAGGGACACACTCCAGACATGTGTGTGCAGCTGTACATATGCAAATACTTATGAAAAAATTAAGTCCACATGGTATAAAAGTTTTATGGGCATCATTTGGAGATTGCCACATTATATATTAGTGACTTTGACATTCTTTTGAGGTAACTAACGAGGCTGTAAAAATATCTTAATACTGGTGAAAGCAGATTCCTATTCCTAATGTCTCAGCTTCAAAAAAGTCTCGAGCAGTTCCATGGGGAGGAAGGGTGGGGGAATAAATTTGTCTCTTATAACATTCACCTCTCTAAACTGAAAGCTGTATCGCTACTATTGCTGATCCCTCCTTCAATCCATCAATTTCTAGAGCTACACCATGAAAAAATTCACTGCTTCTAAAACTGTTGCCAGTATATGCACCACAAAGAGCAAAGCAAACCCATAGCTGTTTTTCCCCTCTTAAATACCCACACAAAAACACACCAGGTGATTAGATTTAGGTAACTGGGGTCATAGCTAGGAACATGGACATAGAAGTCAAGCACTCACAAGTTTTTAAGAAGAAGTCTAGCATCATTGGAACAATGGTAAACTCAAAAGTACTATGGAAATGTTAGCATCAATCAAAAGCAGCATTTGAAACGTGGCATTTCCAATAGCTCCCCTCATTTCACTGATCCATTGTTACTTCAGTAATTTTTATTGTTCTGTCATCTACTAGACCAAGTAAGGTAGTGGGAACCCTTTTGATGTGTTGTTAGAACAGACAGTCCTTCCCACAGAGAAATTTACA